CGTTCCCAACACCGAGTTTCTGTAAATTAAGCAACACTATGTTAGAGGGTCGACAGCAGCATTGAAGAAGTCACTGTACATGACAACGTGCAGTGCTGGGGACGTCTTTACTTGACATGGAGGCCCACCCTTGGTGCCTTTCGCCCAGGACTTCACGTGTTCACCGTGGGGAAGGACCAGGGGCTTTTCCTGAACCCAGTGTAAGACGCAATAAAAATAAACCTCTAGACCTTGCATTCTGAGTGGGGGCTGTATCCCCCAAAAGGAACAAACACTGCTTCTCAGAGCAGGGGCGAAAACGTCTTACTCTTTTCGTGTTAAGCACAAATCTACGCCAATACCCTAAATAGATACGCGGTGTATCTATAATATTAAAATTTTGTAGGAGAAGAGGTCAGTAGAGGGAAGCATTTCAAAAAGGATGGGCCAGTCATGAAAAAAGAAGAAAAAAAAAAAAACTGGTTCAGAAACAATCACATTGTTTTAAGAGTCCGGATTTTTTTAGTATCAGACTGAGCAAGAGGTTAGAAGTTCCTACACGCCGTCTCCCGGGGTCTGTAGTCATCTCATCGGGAAGCGTTTGCAGACAGGCTCCAGTCCTCAGTCCACATTTCAGTAGCGCTGTGCTAACACATCACTGCGTTTTGATCTGGAGTTATCGTACCTCTTTGGGTATCTATCCACTTGATCGTGTTCTGTCTCCTCCCTGAACGTAAGTAAGCATCAGCCTCTTACTTCCCGCCATACCCACAACGGCACCTGACACAGGGATGCTTGGTTGGTCACTAGAACGTGTGTTGTTGACTAAACGGGTGAGTCTCCTTTTGAAATTGTTCTGCTGATGTGGTGGTTGTGGTCTGCAAATGTGGCAGGGGTCCAGGCTCCTTACGTCTTGATGCTCAGCTGTGCGATCCAGGAAGACCCTCCTTTGCAGGGAAAGGGAGGCCCCGCCCCTGCCCTTGAAGGGCACAATCAGGAAGTCGCACACATAAGCTTGCTCCCCTCCCCTTGTCTAGAGCGCATCACATGGCCACGCCATCCACAAGGGAAGCTGGGAAAGGCAGTGTTTTATTCTAATCGGCCGTGTGCCCGGCTTCAAAGCGGAGACAGAAGGGGTGAATGGATATTGGCGGACCCCCGGCGGGACCCGCCACCATCACCTTAAGACAGGATGTTTTCCTCGCCTTCCCCAACCCTCCCATGGGCACCCCGCCAACCAGATGGAGGCATGAAGCCGGGGTTTTAACATCCCAGCTCAAGGTGGGTCCATTTGGAAAACCCCCGCAGAGACCACACGAGATTTCGGGGGCCGCGTGGCCCGTCCTCCCGGGTCGCGTCAGGCATGGGATGGACTTCTCCCTGCAGGGGCTCTGGGGGTGCCCTTGGCACAGCATGCGTTGTCCGGGCATCCGTGCTCCAGATGCCCCTGGGTCACAAAATGAAAACAAACACGAGGGCGTTTGGGAAAAAGGATACTGACGGACAAGATGTAGGAGTGGGTGGCCTGTTTGTTTTCAGACCCTCCCTCAGTCGTCATTAGGTTGCCACGGAAGAAAAGAGAAATCAGAAGAGAAAACGCTATGGCAGCCAGGCGACTTCCTAGGGCAGGTGCGTTGCTCAGTTCAGCAGGTAGGGTCACCAAGGTAACCATAACCCAAAAGTGGCTTCGAATGGAAGAGGCCGGCCTAGACCTTCTGCTGGCCACGCCCGGACAGGCCACGGAGGACAGAATGGGATGCCAGCGTGCCACGCTGTGGTGGACAGGTTCTGCGGTTTCTGGCCGTGGGACGGGTCCCCCACGTCGCGGAGACTGGGAGAGGAGGCCCAGCTGTGGCCGTGTTCCTGTCCTCGCTCTCCTCACCTGGCTGCTCCAGCTCCTCCTGCAGAGATTAGTGTAGGTGCCACTTCCTCCAGGAAGCCTTCCTGGCCCCGCCGCTCCCCAGCAGGCGTTCCAGAGCGCTTGCCGCCCCCCAGTGCATGTTCTTCTCACCCCTGCATATGAATATGGTTTATTTTGTAGATTTCGCTTTGGAGCCGTTTCAATATTTGTTATAAAAACAGTTCCTAAAACGTGATAGCAAACTGTTAGAAACCCAACTGCGTGCGGAATTGGTGGCATAACCATACAGAGAGGAGAATTTATTTACCCATAGTTTTGCTTTTTTCTTCTTTTCTTTCTTCCTGATGTTTCAAGATTCCGTTGTTTTTTTTTTTTAGTTCCTTTTTTTAAAAATTTCCTGTCTGTTTCAAGAACTGCTTGTACCCATCTTTTCAGAGTGTATCTGCTGTGACAGGCTTTCTTAGTTTTCCTTCATCCTATTCCAATTTACTTTAAAAATCATCCAACTGAAAAAAAGAAAAAAGAAAAAAGGGCACCTGGGTGGCTGAGTTGGTTGAGCATCTGACTCCCGATTTTGGCTCAGGTTATGATCCTGGGGTCGTGGGATCAAGCCCCAAGTCAGGCTCTACACTAGGCATGGAACCCGCGTGGGATGCTCAGTCTCTCTCTCTTTTTTTTCTCTCTCCCTCTCTATCTATCTGTCTCTTTCTAGCTCTGTCTCTTTCTGTCTCCCTCCTCTCCCCAGCTCATGCTCCCACTCTCTCTCTAAATTAAAAATGAATCATCCAACTCACCCCGTGGAGGAATTCTAGAGTATATAAGTTGTATCCCCAACAAAACAGTTTGCAAAAGAAGCAACAGCACAGAGTGATGTTGAAAACTCGGGTCAGGGAGCACCTGGGTGGCTCAGGCAGTTAATCATCCAACTTCGGCTCAGGTCATGATCCCGCATTTCATGGGTTCGAGCCCCGCGTCGGGCTCTGTGCTGACGGCTCGGAGCCTGGAGCCTGCTCCGGACTCTGTGTCTCCCTCTCTCTCTACCCCGCCCCCGCCCCCCCACCGCTTGTGCTCTGTCTCTTCCTCTTAAAAATCGCATTAAAAAAATTTTTTTAAAAAAGAAAGAAAAGAAAACTCGGGTCAGACTGCCCGGTTCCAGCCCCAGCAGCTGTCACCCACTCTCTGTGCTGCCTTGTGCACATCACTTAACTTTTCTATGCCTCACTTTGTCCAGAATGCCTCATTTTGTGTCAGAATGTCACCTGACACACAGGCGTCCACTGATATTCCTGTAACCAACCCCTTCCCTCCCTGGGCTCCTACCTCATTGGCCTTTTTTTTTTCTCTGTCTCTAACCTGCCAAGCGCATCCCTCCGTTAGGACATGTGTGCTCAGTGTTTGTGGACACCCCTCCCCCTGGCTGCTTCCATGGCTGTTTCCTGGCTGTTTTCACGTCTCAGCTCCAGTGTCACCTCACAGAGGGCTTGCCTGACCGCCCAGTCTTAAATGACAGCCCACTTGGGGCGCCTGGGTGGCTCAGTCGGTTGGGCGTCCGACTTCGGCTCAGGTCACGATCTCGCGGTCCATGAGTTCAAGCCCCGCGTCAGGCTCTGTGCTGACAGCTCAGAGCCTGCAGCCTGTTTCAGATTCTGTGTCTCCCTCTCTCTGACCCTCCCCCGTTCATGCTCTGTCTCTCTCTGTCTCAAAAATAAATAAACGTTAAAAAAAATTTTTTTTTAAATGATAGCCCACTCGCTCACTAAATAGCACTTTCTAGTCATATCATCTTTAGTCCCATTTTACAGATGGGGCAAGTGATGCTCCGAGAGCCACAGTCATTTCATTTATTTATTCAATTTACCACCATTCAGTGTACTTATTTACCACCTCGCACCCGTTACAAGGGCTGCTATCAAAAAAACACAAAAAAGAAGTGTCGAGAAGGATGTGGAGGATTTGGAACCCTGGGCGCTGTTAGTGGGAATGTAAAATGGCGGACCTGCTATGGAAGACAGCAGTAGGTTCCTCAAAAAATAAGCAGTCAGATCGCCATATGACCCAGTAATTCCACTTGTTTTTAATGTTTCTTTATTTATTTTGAAAATCTTTTATGGTTTATTTATTTCGAGAGAGAGAGAGAGCAAGCGTGAGTGGAGGAGGAGCAGAGAGAGAGGGCTAGAGAGAGAGCCTCAAGCATCTCCCTGATGGGGGGCTCGAACTCACGAACCGTGAGATCGTGACCTGAGCGGAAGTCAGACCCTAAACTGACCAAGCCACCCAGGTGCCCCAGAATGTTTATTTATTTTTGAGAGAGAGAGAGAGACAGAGAGACAGAGCGTGAGTGCGGGAGGGGCCTGGGCGTGTAACGAAAGAACTGAAAGCAGGGTCCGAAAGAGGCATTTGTACGCCTGTGTCCTTAGCAGCATTATTGGCAACAGCCAAAAAGCGGAAGCAATCCACGTGTCCACCGACAGATACATGGAAAAACGACATGTGGTGTATCTGTGCGATGGGATGTTATCCGGCCTCAAAAAGGAAGGAAGTTCTGACACCTGCCACAGCACGGACGAACCTTGAAGACGTTACATCACGTGAACTAAGCTATTTACAAAAGTACAAATCCTAGGTGTTTCTGTCTACATGAGGTTTCCAGAGCAGTCACATTCGTGGAGAAAGCAGAGGGGTGGGTGCCGGGAGCTGAGGGAGGGGAGGAACGGGGAGTCACCGTTTAATGCGGATGCAGTCCTGGCTTCGCGAGATGAGAAACGTTCTGGGGACGGATGGTGGGGAAGGTCGCACAACCGTGTGAATGTGCTTCATGCCAGTGAACCGTAGGCTTGGAAATAGTTGAAATGGTAAGTGTTAGGTTATGTACGTTTACCGCAATGTTCTAAGTAAGTCTCTTTAACCGCAGTTGTGAAGAACAAGAATCTGTACACTCTATGTGCTATCTTACTCGTTGCTCACCGCAGTCCTTTGATGAAGGAGTTACTGTACTCGTCAGTCGACAGAACAGAGCGGCAGAGAGATTTGGTATACTGCCAAGGTCATGGCTCCGTCCCAGCCTGTCCGCCCTCAAACCACCCGTCTGCCAAATCTTTCTCCTCCCCGTCCCTCTCTGACTGCAAGAAAGCTCACCTGTACCCATTCCTCCAACCTGCAGGCACAGCGGGGATCTACCAAGGAGCAAACGGGCTGACCAACGCGGCTGGATTCGGAAGTGTGCACCAGGTAGATGTCGCTCGCCACCACTCGTTTTCTCTATTCTTTCCTTAAATCGCCCCCCTTAACTCAGGGCATCCCGAGAGCCCACTCCTGCCCACCACCCCTGCCAGAAATGCAGTCTCTTACTCCCTGGGTTTGAAGACCACAGGAGTCAGGCTGTGCCAAAGGCCATCGGAAAGGTAACAGCGTAGAGACAGAGAAATTGGAATTATCAGCAGATTTCCAAGATGACATAGGCGATATTATATACTCCCCCTTGACCTGAGCCCGAGACGCCCATTGACTGTTGAATCTCGAACCTGTGAATGCAAACACATGTGCTCCCCTGCCAAACGTGACCTCCTCGAGCATGAGAACCCCTTGTCTTTGGTTCTGCATTCCGGTGCCGAGTGCCCGGCACACAGTGGGGGCTTTATAAATGCTCGTTAAACCACACCAGGCCAACCCTGTAAAGGTGGACGCTGGCTAATAGTTTGATTGTCCCGGCTTCACTTAGAGAGTAAATTAAGAGTTAACCGGCTAAGGGTGTATGGGAAGTCTGTGTCCCGCTTGTACACCTCTTCTATAAATCTAAAATTATTTCAGAACCAAAGGCGAGCATGTTTTCAGGCTAGCATTAAAACAGAACTACCACAGAGTAGGTGGGCTATGGAATATTTAACGTATTTAAATACGAGAAACGCACTGTTTCTTCTTCAGTGAGCTAAAGAATCTAAATGGTGTAAACCTTGGAAGATTTGAAAATTTGTTTCACACATCTCTTATATTATTTCCGGGGTACTATCTCCATGGATAAAACACTTGTTAAGTAAAAGCCCTTTTTAAAAAGGTGTGGTTCTTCACCAATAGGAGCTTGTCAAAGACGGAGATTCTCTAAATGCCACCCCCCAGAAATTCTGATTCTGTAGGGCTGAGGTGCGGCCCAAGAAGCCAAACTACCCGTGAGTCCCCGCAGGGTTGAGAAGGCTCAGTTTATGGTGATGGTGGGGCAGAACATTTGGAACAATGACTACCGTGGGAGAGCTGGAATGTCCGGTTGGTTTAAGCAAAGCTTGATAAAAAGGGGATTGGCACTCTTTTATTTGATGTCCCCGACTTCCTCAGAAGATTCTGGATCCCTGATGCTGTATAAGTGCTGCTGTATTTGTACCCCTCATGAACATGTCACCTGGTCTCCTGGGTATGTGTGTAGGGTCTTTGTCCCTCATTCATTGGTTCGTTGATTTGTCTCGTATTTACTGAATCCCCCTATGTGTCCAGCACTGTGCCATGTGCGAGGGATAAGGAGTGATCAAGACAGATACTAACAGAGCCGCACCCACGTCCCTTAGGGTGCACCTGCTGACCTCCACATGGCAGCCGTGGCAGCCCTAGGGTGGAGGGTGTCCCCAAGAACCAGTGACCAGGGCAGGAGGGAAGTGCCGGGAACCCCCAATCATTTTCCCAAAAAATTGCACTTGCGGCCTCGTCTTGGGGGTCTGCATCTGGGGAAAGTCCCTGTCCTCACAGAGCTTTTATTCTAGTGGGAGAGACGGGGACAGACACAATAGACCCACACACACACACACACACACACACACACACACACACACAAGGCCCCTCACCACTGGCCTCCTCACTCACAGCCTCATGTGTTTCCCTTTCTAGGACTATGCTTCCTACCCTGGCTTCCCTCAGGGCCAGTATTCCCAGTATTACAGCTCGTCCTACAGCCCTCCTTATGTCCCGGCCAGCAGCATCGGCCCTTCCCCACTCTCCACGTCTACCTACGTCCTCCAGGAGACACCGCACAGCGCCCCCAGCCAGAGTTCCGAGTTGCTTGGCGGTAAGTGCCGTCGCTGTCTCAGGGTCATCGGTGGCTGTGATCTGAGCTTTCATATGAAGGGCGGACTGGACATAGGTCCCAGCTGTAATGAGCTGTAATGAACTCACCCAAAAGCGAAATCCAGCCCTCACATATATTTTGTTGACTGGAATTTTTAAAAAAATTCTTTAAGAAGGAATTTTTCGATGTATGTCATCAAGATGTACGGGGATGTGCGTGCGTGTGCGTGTGTGTGTGCGCGCGCGCGTGTGTGTTTCATTCCACCCATGTTTAAAATTTTATCTGAAAATCTCTTGAAAGCAGATCTGAACCTGCTTGCTTAGGTCTACATTCCTAAGTGACAACAGTTCGCTGTTGTCTGTAATGTCTGCCCCATCAGACAGGGCATGCACAGTTCCACATCTGGCCAGTTTCCTTCAAGTTCATTACCTGCCTGGCCCAGGGAGGCACTGGAGTTGGTGAGCCCTGGTCCTCAAAGAAGGGAAACTAGTATTTGTTGCCCGTCCATGATGTGCCAAGCACACATCTGCGTGGTCTTCTCATTTCACTTATTTATATGCTGATTCAACAAATATTTATAAAGTACCTGCTATTTTCTAGGTGCTCTTTAGTTTAGAAAGTAAAATAAAGTGCAACGTAGACTTCTTGATGTTTTCAGGCAGGAATCAAATAATCACATAAAATACACAGTTACAAACTGTGGTAAGGAAACTCACACTCCCTACGAAAACGGGTTTTCAGTCACCTCCTCTTTGCCAGCTAAGAACAATGAAGATCAGGGTGATCAGTAACTTGCTAGTAATTAGCGGAGCTGGGATTTGAACCCAGGCCTGCTGGGCTCCGTAACCAGTGCCCCTGGATACTCAGTAGCCACACGTAGCTGAGATTGTGTTCTCTAAAACCCATCTGAGAACAGAAGGGCAGCGGCCTTCAAACCTTGGTTCTCTCTCATCGAGAATTCTAGAATGTTTTAAATTTTTTTTTTCAACGTTTATTTATTTTTGGGACAGAGAGAGACAGAGCATGAACGGGGGAGGGGCAGAGAGAGAGGGAGACACAGAATCGGAAACAGGCTCCAGGCTCTGAGCCATCAGCCCAGAGCCCGACGCGGGGCTCGAACTCACGGACCGCGAGATCGTGACCTGGCTGAAGTCGGACGCTTAACCGACTGCGCCACCCAGGCGCCCCAAGAATTCTAGAATGTTTTAAAAAATCCTCATACGTGTGCCTTTCCAATAGCATAACAGTCTTATTAGGAATCCCTTTTACCGGTCAGGATGTTTTGGCTTCAAAAGATAGAGAATGCAATGCAAACTAGTTTAAGCAAAAAAAGGAATTTTTAGGTGTATGTCATCAAGATGTACAGGGATTCGGGGCTGGGTCCAGGGGTTCAGATGATAATGTTGGGACTCAGTCTCTTTGTTCCTCTGGCTCTGCATTTTCCTGGGTTCATTTCACCCTCAAGCAGGCCTTCCCATTATGGTGGCAGAGATGGTCACCAGCTGCTCCAGGGTTCAGTCCTGCCTGCTTATCTACCCCTCAGAGAGAGTTCCTCCTTCCTAACAGCTCCTACCAGAGGTCCCAGGTAACGCCCCCGTTGGCCCAGCTTAGGTCACATACCTGTCCTCACACCAGTTTCCGTGACAGTGGATGGAATGCTGGATGGGACAGCAGACTTGGGTCTCGTGCCCACAGCTGGAGCTCGAGTTGGGTCATCCCCACCCAGGCCACGTGGACTGAGTGAGGGAGAGGTGGTCTCCCAAGGAAACCCAGAGCCCATTACCCAGAGGAAGACGGAAGAGACACGGGGTGGGCCAAAGTGACAGGTGTCCCCTACCTATGGAACCCACCTAGATTAGGAGCAACGTGTGGGAGAGTCCATGTGCTGGCCCTTGGGTGATGTACGTCCCTGTACAACTCACTCACCATTCTGTTGATTCCTTCGTTCCTTCCATAGATCTATGCACATATCTTCTCTTTCGTGCAGTGGTTCAGGCATATTATCATTAAATGACATGACAGCAAGTGAATTAGAATGTCCAAGCGTGAAGAAGACGTCATTGCGCTTTGTTCGCTTTTCTTTCCAGTGGGTTTTTCAGAACCCACTGATTTTTCTGGCTTGTAGAAGCTGAGCTGGCATGACAGTGTGTGGACAGTCAATACATACTGGTTGATGTTTAGAACAAGAGCAAGAGTGGAGACTTCTTTTGTTCCTGGGGTTCTTGATGCCGCTGTTGCTTTTAGCCCTTATATTTTCCATCCCTGGGGACACGTTAATTATCCTTGGTTTGGTGACAAATAGAAACAACATAGCCAGGCATTTTTAAGTCAATTTTTAAGGAAGTTTAAGGCTGGAGCATTGATTTTGATCATTGTGATTTCATCGCAGAGTATTTAATGAATGCATAGTACCTATGTAACAAGTTCCAAATCGCTTTCTTCGAAGGGGATGAAATTTAGCAAACTTTTCTTGGTGGCCAAGAATGTGGCCACTGCAAACTGGCCCCAGAGAGGAAATATAAGCAGGAAATCCTCACGTAGACGCCACTACCTATGTATAATTTGGAACTGGATTCCAAAGACTGACTTCCCAAGAATTTGGGGTATGTGGGAAGGGTTATCTTTGTTCCCCCTCAAGAGCAAACATAAAGGTTCATTGTGTCTCTTTGAAATTTTTCTTTACTGTTTCCCCCTGTTCTTCATTTATCCTTTAGTCTAAGGTTCAACAATAAGTGCTTGAGATGGTTTTTACTGTGTGTCTAACAAGCTCACATAAAATCTAATGACATAAATAATCGTCAGCTATAACTGAGGTCTCTTGCCTCTTTTCCCCAGTGTCTGTTATAAAGGAAGGGCACGTAAGCATGCATGTGTGCACATGCACACACGCACACACACATGCACTCTCTTAAAATTTCCCATAAAACCCCACTTTTGAAATTATCCAGGATCTCCTTGAGTGGTTGGCTCCAAATTCCAGAGCCTCAAGAGGTTTATATATTACCGATAGATCATGCCCGCTCTCTGCATTGCCTGGATACAGTATCCTGATGCTCTTCTCCACCCCCAGCCCCCAGCCCAGTTTTCACTGACATGTATTAACAGTCATATGAAGTCCCGACAATTTACAGATGATTGCAGGGCAATTTGCTGGTGTAGAGGGCAAAACCTGAACATACGATGTTACTCAAGAGAAAAGACAAATTAGTAGTGATTGCTTAAGGACTTTTTTCTTTTCAAACTTTTAAGTATAATGCAGATTATCTAAAAAGATAACTGGACAGACATTGGAGCTCCTGTCTCACAGGCCTTTGGACTCTAGGGCTTACACCAGTGGGGCCCAACCCCTCCAGAGTCCCCCTGCCCCTAGTTCTCAGGCCTTAAGCCTCAGACTGAATTATACCACTGACTTTCCTGGTTTTCCAGCTTGCAAACAACAGATTGTGGGACTTTGTGACCTCTATAACTGCATGAGCCAGTTACTATCGTAAATCTCTTCATACACATACACACACACACACACACACACACACACACA